AGGTAGAGAGAGAAATATTATGACAAAATCATACATTTCCTATTATCTCTCACACTACTTTTTTTACATTTATCAGTAATATATTTTGTTTGCTTATGTTCTGTTTAGTTCTCTTTTTTGTTCCTCAGAAAATATAACGTCACATTGAAAAAAGAATTAAATTATTTTGTCTTTCCAATGTGTAAACATTTATTTCCTCCATTCTTTTTTTTTTAAAAAAACACGAAAAAAAAGAATATCTACCTGATTGTTGTTTATTCTAGTAAAAGAAATAAAGTTGTCCAGTTTGTTTGTTTTTTTTTCTATGGATAAAAAGAAATGTGTAAACAGAGGCGCCATTTGCACACAGCCCAAATATATATATATATATATATATGCATGTATATATTTGCATTACGGGGTTGTGAAGATTGTTAAGTTACACATTTTTGAAACCATGAATCGACGATCAATGTTAGACCACCATTAGAAACCTGGAAGCACTGGACGGCCGTCTCGTCCTGGTATGGGACTACTCATCAGCAGTACGTATCCACGACTCCTGCACCTCGCAGGATTCCAACCCAGGACCTTCGGCATTGTGCGCGAATGCCTAACCATCCGACCACTGGGCCGGTGGCATCGAACGGTGTTAATGTCTAACTTGATCAATTCACGGAGTTGCGCAACCTCATACACAGTCTTCGGTAGTTACTGTCTACAACCGAACAGGTTGAACTTCACTGGTCACGTCTTCCTACTAGAACTTGCAGAAGATATATATATATATATACCCTAACCACTGATGGTAAGGTTTGAACAGTGATCTAATTCGAGTGAGTATACAACGAATAGAGCAAGAAAATAGTGCGAATTCAGTGATTTCAAGTTTCAAGGGGACTGTAAGGGGGTTTAAATCTCAGACCGAATAACTATTCATAATTAAGTGAATAGTGATGTCATGGGCCATGAAGTACAAACTATTTCAACTGGTGAATTTAAAACTCATATCCTAATTAAATCAATATTTTTTGCATGCCTGACACTAATGAAATGTACAATTTATGTGTTGATTATTTTAAAACGTTGATAGTTTGAAGAACGCTGGTCAGTGGACTATGCTCCATTAAGAGTGACAGACGTACGTAAGCAAGTAAATTGACGGTAAGCTGCTGAAAGCCATTACCACCTACACTTTTATTATGCAAAATAATAGTTTCTATAAGCAGATCTACGACATTGTTTGATCATAAAACAACAACTGATGTTATTCAAATCTTTTGTGCATATTTAATCCGATTCTGAATACCGTTTCCGTTAATCTGAAGGTTAGGTTAGCTACAATAATTTTCAGAAATTAAAAGGATCAAAAATATTGATTTTTCTCCAAACGTCAGTCACTGATAACAATTGGTACCATCAAAAAAGATCAGAAATATAATCAAATGCGTCTAAGGATGACAATGTATGAGGCATTGTATTATTATCGATGTGTCTATCTTAGGATAACATTTAGCAGATCGACTTTTAGTAGCTCAAGCTGACATTATAGAGTAATGTAGCGTTTAACTTCTTTCAATTAGATTCAAAGCTTTATTTGGATAAACTCACCGGTTTTATATATTTTCTTTTGTCGTATATTGCCTTATAAAGAATGCTGAATTTACTTACCTAATTATGCTTGTTACTTCTAATGGAGCATAGGCTAAACCGACTAGCATTCTTCTTCTACCTACTCTATACTTAGGCCTTCCTTTCCATTTCCTAACCAATCGCTAGTCATTCGTTTCATGTCTGAACGTTACAAATATATTTATCCATATTAATTCGACACTTGAAGTATCCCGTAGATTTGAGTGATTTCTCTGATTATCTAAGTACTTGATATAAAAACTTTCTAGTTGAAGAAATAGTCATAAATCACCCAACTAAATTACACAGTTGTTTTAATTTTTTGTGGTATACCTTGTTTTCGTGGTTGTCTTTTGTCATTTCGGACTTAGTGTATTTTTATATTTTAAAATAAAGAGAATAAATCTTCATCACATGATTCAACCCGAAGCATCTCTAGGCTCTTCGTTGTATCTTAAAGTTATTTGGAATATTTTTCGACATTTTTGAACAACAATGCGACTTTTATTATGATGAATTTCAAATTTGGCGACAATTTTACTCATTATAACAAGATACAAGTTTACTTGCTCAATAAGCAAACCAAAGCATAAATAATATTAATTTTAAACCAATAAAATTATGAAATGTAGATAAAACTCAATTGAAATATTCTTACAATCTATTTTCTCAAGATATTCCCCTCTTTTTAAATGAAGAACAATATACTTTCACAGTTCATTTTCTAACTGAATAACCTAATTCCGCTTACTTTACATAACAGAAATTTTATTGACTGAAGTGAATAGCAGGAGTAGTAAAGATAAGAAATTAGTAAGTAAATGAAACTGACTTGTACAGAATATACGATCAATATAATGATCAGACATCTGTAACTGTTAAAACTGATGCCATGTCTTCAAAAGATATCTTACTTACTAACTAACTAACTAACTAACTAACTAACTAACTAACTAACTAACTAACTAACTAACTAACTAACTAACTAACTAACTAACTAACTAACTAACTAACTAACTAACTAACTAACTAACTAACTAACTAACTAACTAACTAACTAACTAACTAACTAACTAACTAACTAACTAACTAACTAACTAACTAACTAACTAACTAACTAACTAACTAACTAACTAACTAACTAACTAACTAACTAACTGACTAACTAACTAACTAACTAACTAACTAACTGACTAACTAACTAACTAACTAACTAACTAACTAACTAACTAACTAACTAACTAACTAACTAACTAACTAACTAACTAACTAACTAACTAACTAACTAACTGACTAACTAACTGACTAACTAACTGACTGACTAACTAACTAACTAACTAACTAACTAACTAACTAACTAACTAACTAACTAACTAACTAACTAACTAACTAACTAACTAACTAACTAACTAACTAACTAACTAACTAACTAACTAACTAACTAACTAACTAACTAACTAACTAACTAACTAACTAACTAACTAACTAACTAACTAACTAACTAACTAACTAACTAACTAACTAACTAACTAACTAACTAACTAACTAACTAACTAACTAACTAACTAACTAACTAACTAACTAACTAACTAACTAACTAACTAACTAACTAACTAACTAACTAACTGACTAACTAACTAACTGACTGACTAACTAACTAACTAACTAACTAACTAACTAACTAACTAACTAACTAACTAACTAACTAACTAACTAACTAACTAACTAACTAACTAACTAACTAACTAACTAACTAACTAACTAACTAACTAACTAACTAACTACTAACTAACTAACTAACTAACTAACTAACTAACTAACTAACTAACTAACTAACTAACTAACTAACTAACTAACTAACTAACTAACTAACTAACTAACTAACTAACTAACTAACTAACTAACTAACTAACTAACTAACTAACTAACTAACTAACTAACTAACTAACTAACTAACTAACTAACTAACTAACTAACTAACTAACTAACTAACTAACTAACTAACTAACTAACTAACTAACTAACTAACTAACTAACTAACTAACTAACTAACTAACTAACTGACTAACTAACTAACTAACTAACTAACTAACTAACTAACTAACTAACTAACTAACTAACTAACTAACTGACTAACTAACTAACTAACTAACTGACTAACTAACTAACTAACTAACTGACTAACTAACTAACTAACTAACTAACTAACTAACTAACTAACTAACTAACTAACTAACTAACTAACTAACTAACTAACTAACTAACTAACTAACTAACTAACTAACTAACTAACTGACTAACTAACTAACTAACTAACTAACTAACTAACTAACTAACTAACTAACTAACTAACTAACTAACTAACTAACTAACTAACTAACTAACTAACTAACTAACTAACTAACTAACTAACTAACTAACTAACTAACTAACTGACTAACTAACTAACTAACTAACTAACTAACTAACTAACTAACTAACTTACTTACTTACTTACTTACTTACTTACTTGCTTACTTACTTATTTACTTACTTACTTACTTACTCACTTACTCACTTACTCACTTACTTACTTACTTGCTTACTTACTTACTTACTTACTTACTTAGCTACTTACTTACACCTGTCACCCCTCATGGATCATGAGCAGCTGACTAGCATTGTATGAATTAACAAAAACCTACAATGAACCATTCTTTGCGATTAGGCAACACAATTTATTATTCCTTAAATACCTACTATAACAAATGATCGTTTAAACAAAAATCTCTTAAAGAAAATATCCTTTGAATGTAATGAATTCGGAGATTTCCTTGACTGATCTGCAAACAGGAGGAACAGATTCTTCATTCGGATTGGCAGTTTGACTGCACTTGATCAATCTTGCCTATAGGTTACAAGCACTATGAACAGAGGTAGACAGTGGCCAGCAGTGCAGTCCAGTGCTTATGTTTCGTCCTATTTTGGGCTCCACTGATAGCGATCGCCCATCTCCGCTGATCATACTTGTAACATAATGGCAGCATCGAGGAATAGATACAGTTCAGTTGGTGACTGTAACTGTGATGAACTAGTCAACATTTCAATCAAATATAAATTAATCTTCACCATTCATTCAATGATCACAACGTGTGAACAAACTACACAAAGATCCCTAACCAACTTGTATTTATGATTTCTCTCACTTGAGACAATATCAGTACATTCAAAAATGAAATTTCTTCCTTAAAAGAAAAAACTTATCATACACACAGAGAATAAGTTTTGAAATCATAAATTCAATCGCCTATTGGTCAATATGTGTAAAACATCACTTCTCCTTCTTCTTCTTCTGGCATTTTTTCTTCTCCCCACATAATCTATGAATGTCTCTTTTTAACTTGATAATAATAAAATAATGTTTCACCCTATTGACGAAATCACTTTCAAGGTCAAGCGAAGAACAATACACCGTGTGTGTAATAAACTGGTGCATTAGTTAAACAAATGTGCTCGTAACCCAACGATTACTGTTTCGCAACATTTTATTAAACAATCAATTGAATAAAACAAGTGGAATATAATTAACACGAAAAAAGAAAGACCTTTAGGGATTAATACCTCTTTTATCAGTTGAGTAACAACAGACTGTATATTTCAATTCCATTCCCATGACACAATAAACCAACCAACAACTTTGGGTGTTATGAAATAAATTTCTTTAAAACAAGAATTACACAATTTGTAGTAAATCACATTCACAAACTGCACTCACTTTCAATGATGTACAGTGTATAGAAAAAGGTGGTTTTATTTGTGCACCATATCGATTGATCTTGTTCAATGTGTACTATTCACTTCAGAGTTTTGTTATTCATAAGTTTGTTCAATCATTTACAACATTTTATCCATTCAAATCGAATCTCATCAAAATCGCTGCCTGTTGGCAATGATTTACAAAATGTCAGTATTTTAACTACTAGTCATAAGAACTCCTTGGACAAATCAAATATTTCTAACTACTTATGGTATTTATTTCAAAATCGAAATACCGATTCACGTCGATTGCAAAAACCCATTTTGTATTATACGCCAACGCCAAATTCAAACAATGAAATCGACAACGTCACATCGATCCGATTCAATAGATCGGATATGTTCAGTGGTCAGAAACCGTTACATCGCTACAATAATAATAATAATCATTTACAAACATCTGGGAATGTAAATATTTTTCGACGATTAAAAGATGACCAGCTTCCTGTGAAAGCAGAGATTAATTCAAATTTCCGAACATTGAATCAACTACTTCAAACTAGTCAATTGTCAATAGTCCCTAGTAAAATTCCATCCATACCGAATGAACGACCATTTCATCATGATCAAGTTTTATTGAGTTATAATGAAATGATTCGTTTATTGGGTGTGCAGAATTTCAACAGTGACTTCATGTCATTCAATAAACCATGGGAGGCTGTAATTTTTCCAACTGGTCGACTAATTTATTCAGCATTGATGAAACCTGACAAGAATTCATTTGATGAACCAATGACATCTTTGCATCGAAATCGACGATCACGTAAATTGAAACCGAATAACCAGGAGGAATTTATAAATATTTATGGTCAGTATAAAAGGTCACGAAGAAGACCGAATCATGTAGGTTCGACTCAGTCAAATAAACTTTTTCGAAATATCATGCATCGATTAAAATTGATACAAAATTTAAAAAATGACGATCAATCATTATTACATGAGAAACTATTACATTTTCGATCGAATCAACGACGTTTTAAAAAGAATCGCCAATTGAAGCGTATACTGCGAGAATTTGTCAATGATTACAATAGTTGCCCATTATACTATGTGTGGTATGATTTAGGATCGAAATTTTGGCCAAGATGGATTAAAACTAGTCAATGTGTTAATTTGGGCAATATTTCTTGTTCCCTACCTCCTGGTATGTTTTGTCATGAGAAACGTATTGAGACTATAGCTATCCTACGTTATATATGCCCGGAAAAATGGCCACTATCCAAATGTAACTGGTATAGGATACGTTTGCCAATTGTCACTGAATGCAGTTGTCAATGTACAAATCACATAATAGATAGAAAAACTGAATTCTTAATATTGTAAATTGAATAAAATCATTTATATATTTTCTAATATGCCCATTTTGTATTTATCATTGTATATTGAATTACATGATTGGAAAAAACAAACTGAAGTTGAGGAAATAAAATCTGCATAAGGGTATTTTAATTAAATCGTACATCGTATGGGATGTGAACTGACTGTGACTCATGACAGCTACTTCCAATCTAAATGTAGGTAGATGATCAACAGATTGTTTTCTTTTACCCGAATAAACGGGCGAAATCACGCATATCAGATTATTTTAGCAATGTTCAAACGAAAGTAAACCTTACGCTTGTAAAGCAACCGAAATGGTTGTCTGCAATTCAATGCAGAGCGTCTCAAAGTGACAATGATTGTTCTTTTTCTTTTTTTTTTTTTGAGAAAGTGTTCTAGAAAAACGAATGTTATTTAATATTGAACAAACTTTAAAGATAGAAGAAACATGCTAATTAGAATTAAGGTTACTGAATACAACTAACTATACTTGAACTGGATTGATACTGAGTAAGTAATATGTTACGAGACTATTTTTTGAATCCAAGATGAAATTAGATTAAAACGTGAAATGTTTATTTTGGCAAACAATATTAAGCATTAAAAAATCAACTATTGACAATTGAACAATCTAGGTTTTTTCCCCCTTTTTGTTATAATCTATTATATTGCACTTTCTGTGAAATATCACTGCTGTCTATTTAAGTTAATATGTAAATAATTCATTTTAAATATTTAACGTTAGTGAATTAAAATTGTTATTAATTTATTGGTAGTCAACAAAAAGTAGGGGCTAGAACTTGAATGAGAACAAGTCGTGACGAAATCAGTAGTATGCGTCGTATATTGTCCAATTTTACAAGTATAGTCTCACTAATCAAATACTATTACTGTTTTAAATATTCACTACGATAGTAATAATAATAATAAACTTTGATTTGTCTATATTTCCATGGTTGTTTTTAAATACTTGTTCAACGTTTCAATATCTATCGCTAAATTAATATGACCAAAGCTTGTAATTATGCAATGCACACTAAAATGAAACTTCTCCTGCACAAAAACTCATCATTCGACTTCACAATTAAATCATCAGTTATTGTTGATGAATACGTTTTTGATTGTAAAAACATCGCTCCTAAATAAATATACCGAGTACAGTACCATCTCACTATAACAATATCAGTCAGTCAGTCAGTTACAACGTAGAACTTCGTACGTAAGTACATCAGAACTGATGTTGCCATACTGCATTAGCACAGAGACGCAATCGTCAATTGAAATCCCATAGTGGTAGAGATAGTAGAAGAATTACTGCTAATGGAGAAGAATAGGATTTGAAGAAAATATTTACGAAATATAATTCAGTGAGATAAGTTTAGAAAGGCAAAGGTAGAGGTGTTGACAAATCCGGAAGATTAGGATTTGAGAAAACACAAAGAATGCATGCACTTGCGCCATTGCAAACGATTTTGAGCCATGTCCTTTAAGTTCTATGATCATCGGTGACTTTCGTCTCGCGGACCACAACCAGGTAGTTGTCACCTACCGACATGACCCAGTCCACTTGACAGTGACTTCATGGATTTCTGCCATGTTTTGGCATGACCAGCCCTACCTTTTTCTTCCTACCTATTGCTGCATCGTAAAACATCGCTTGTCGAGGTATTCGGTGGTTAGGCATACACAACACATCTCTGAACCACCTCAACTGATGAAGTTCAAATACTTCATCTATTGACCTGACATCCTTACCTAGAACTCGTTTCCTAACAACAGCATTGCTTACTCGGTTGTCCCACGATATACGAGCAATGCTTCTTAAACATCTATGATCGAATACTAGTAACCTACGAACATCTTCTACTATTAACGGCCATATTTCGCATCCATATAGGAGAACGGAGCGAACTGCTGCACAGTACATTCGACCTTTAGTTAGCATACGGATATCTCACCTACATCATAAATGGCACAAGTTGGCAAAAGCCAATCGAGCCTTCTGTATCCGTGCTGAGATTTCGTTAGTCACCAGGCCATAGTGACTGATGAGACTACCCAGATTGGTGAAGCGGTCTACATGTTCGAGTACTTCACTCCCTATCACTAGTTCAGGCGCCCATGTAACCCAATTTTGAAGCAAAAGTTTGCATTTCGAGGGTAGTTAGGAGACTCCATTTTGTCAGGGTCTTCACCGAATAGGACTATATCATGAGTCGAAACGTAACGAACTACGCCATAGTTCAAATATCCAGAAACTGTTGCATTAAGTAAGATTTTTACAGTGTAATTTAATTCAGTAAACATTTACAGCTCAGTTCTTTACTTTAAGGAAAAATATTGCTTTAATGGCCCTAGTTACTGCCTATTACAACTTAAAAACTAAATCTTTAAAAAAACCTGTTCATTAGAAACTCGTCAACCAAACTTTTGTCAAACTATAAATAATCTCAAGTTTAAAATGCAACTTTATGGTCATGATAAAAGTTATTTATATACATTTGAAATCATCAATCAATCATTGTTAGACCACCATTAGAAACCTGGAAGCACTGAAAAACGGCCGTTTCGTCCTGGTATGGGACTCATCAGCGGCAGTGCGCATCCGCAACTCCTACACCTCGCAGGAGTCCGATGGTTAGGTGTTCGCGCACAATACCGAAGGTCCCGGGTTTGAATCTTGCGAGGTGCAGGAGTCGTGGATGCACGCTGCTGATGAATAGTCGCATACCTGGACGAAACGGCCGTCTTTCAGTGCTTCCAGGTTTCTAATGTTGGTCTAACAATGATTGACTGATTGATTATTTCAAGTGTGTAAAAACACAAGACCTCCAAAACTCTAACTGAAAAAAAGTTATTTTATTTAAATTTTTATTATCAGTCAACAAGTGACGAACAAATTTTTTTCTTAATTTATAATGTCAACAGTTTTTAATTATTCAAAATTTCGGTTAAATAATTACAGTACCTTTTTGTGTAGTTGTTTTACATTCATAACCTCGTCATTCTTGAAAAAAAAATCACACATTTTTATCATAAATTAATTACATACATTAAACTATTTTGATTAAGAATAATTTGAGGACAGAAATATCGATATCATTGAATAAAATTGAAAAAAACTTAAGGTCAAGCATTGTTTAAATAGTCATCAATATATATATCTATAATACTACTGATTGACAATGTCCAGTGTGACGACAAATTTTTTTCCGTTCATGTATCAATAAAACACACATATTTCTATACTGTGTAAATTGCAAGTTGAATTAAGTTGACCGGTTTGGTTTTTTTCATGATAAAAAAATAGTTATTTTCAAGTAATAACGATGAAAAAAACATTGAATAGCTCTTGCGTTTTTTATTCAATGAATAGTTGTTGTGATACTGTCACGGTATTGAGGTGTTATCATACTTCTGCGGTTTCATTTATTCAAGATATATTCAGTCGTTGAAAGCAAATTTTGTGATACTAACCACTCAAATGATTTTAAATAAGTCTTTAGTAATCCAAAGACGAGTTATCGAAGCGTCACCTCACTTAAATTACAGTAAGGTGAAGAATGATTTGACTGTTATTAGGTGAATAGTATCTTAAGTTAATAAATTTTGTCAAAATTGTCTGAAAACAACGCCGTTTTTTGAAGGAGACTTCTCTTATTGTCAAGAATGGTTCATGTACAAAAAAGCAATAGTAATAAGAAACTGTTAAACGATGTTTTAATACGTTATATGAATTTCCACTACTGTATACATAGAACATCTTGGATTTCTCGATAATTTTATATATTCTCATCAGATCTTAGTGGATTATAGTAATCTTGAAGATTACTCCGCGTGGAGACCCTCTAGGGCTACTACCGATCTCTAGCCCGGATAAAGGTGGAAGGTTGGGCGTGGGGTTCTCATTGACATCCCGTAGAAAGCTAACTCAATTTTAAATTGTACTTTTCCCTCTTTCCAATTCAAGAAATAGTTCATAGTAAGAACGGTAAGGTAAATCTTGATATTTCAAAATACCCACCAAAAGCTACAACCTTGAGAGACTAGTATTATGAAATCAGCCTAATGTTTGATGTATTAACATGTGGCAATGATAGAAATCAACTCGGTCTATGAATTTTACAAATCCTACTTTCATCAGAGAGATTTTAAATTATTGTTTTACGTTTCTGCTTTTTACTTGACTTACATTATTCTTAATCCAAAAACTGAAGTTCCAATTACTTTATTCATGAAGTTATCTGTACTCCATAGATGAACTGTGTATAAAATCTAATTTTCAAACTTGAAACAACTATCGACTCACGATAATTTCGCCATTCCACCCTGAAATTCATTGGCTAAGTTTGATTTTCTATTCGGTAGACAGAACTCTGTTTAGTTTTCAATGTGATGACTTGTGATTTTTCTGAAATCTATTACACCATTGAATGTACATGTCAGTGTATATCTAACCACTTGTCCTTGAACACTTTCAACAAACGGAATTTAGGAAAAAAAAAGGCTAAGCACAATGCATCAATCTGATGAATTTTTTATTACTTTTTTTTTGTTTAAAAATCTTCAAATACACTTTTAAATCGTTCTTTATCATCCAATTCAAGATGCTCTTCATTACATGCATCAAAATGTCTTGTATCATCCAGACTATGACATAATGGTTTATATGGTGGTTTCAGTTTTAAATGATATAATTGTAACCAATTTAAATTTTGAAAATAATCATGATATTTAATATCATGTATACCATTTTTTAAATTACCATAACGTCGACTTAAATCCACTTGTATTAAATTCACCACAAGATCTTTTAATAATGGATTAAAATGTTCCGGGAATTTAATTTTCCCGGCAACAATTTGTTCAAATGTTTTCATTTGATCTGTGTGCATAAACGGTGGATAACCGGTAGCCATTTCATATAATAATACACCGAATGCCCACCAATCCACAGCATTATGATAACCTTTATGCAATATGATCTCTGGTGCCATATAATCCGGTGTACCGCACAATGTCCATGTACGTTTATGCTTGGGTATGATTTTAGCAAAGCCTAAATCGGCCAGCTTCAAATAACCATTTGCATTGATGAGGAGATTTTCCGGTTTTAAATCACGATATGCAATAGTTAAATGATGCAAATATTCAAATGCTAATACAACTTGTGCACTATAGAATTGAATCATTTCATGGGGGAATCTTTTCATATTCCTTAACAGTGTAAACAATTCACCACCAATCATATATTCCATAATTAAATATAAATAACTATTATCTTTAAAACTATAATATAATTTTATAATAAATGGAAAATTACATGCAGACAGAATACGTTTCTCATTAATGGCATTATTAATTTGATGTGTTTTAATCACTTGTAATTTCGATAGAATTTTCAACGCAAAATATTTATCACTTTCAATTTGACGTACCAGTAGGACACGACCAAAACCACCTTGTCCTATAGTGCAGATACGTTGGAAATCATCTAATTTCGCTGTTTGCCTCTTTGACTGGTCAATGTATAATTCATGGAAGATTTCAGATTTCTCTTTTAAAATAACATCGAATTCAGATTGTGTTGACATTTTTGGGTTTTCTTACTTCTTCTACTGCTTTCTCCTTCTTTGTTTATGCTCAGTTTGATCATCAAACATTAGTTACATGTGTGTGTTTGTGTGTGTAATCGTGTTTTGTCTTGTTTTTGTCAACCACAACCATGGAAGGAAGATACGATGATTGCGAAGTTTAGCGTACCCATTAAAACATTCTCAAAGTTCTCGATTGAATCGGGGTAAATCCAGAAAGAAAAATTAGTTAGTTGTTCAGAGATATTTAACAAATGAACAACTTCCACTGGTTGTTTTGATCAGAAGTGAAGAATAAATATGATTGAACTACTTACTGGCTGATTGCATATTGATAAATCGATTTTTGTTTTTCAGTTCAAATGAATGTCAATACAAAATCTAAATTATATACTACTTCGATGTATGTATATGCGCATGCACAGACATACATTACTACACATCATCATTATTGATGTATACACCCAGTATATATATATATATATATATATATATATATATATATATATATATATATATATATATAGATAGATAGATAGTTAATTGTCAATCAAACGAGTAGATGTATGTATATCTATCTAATATTTGTATACAAGTTGATGATGAACATAAGTAGTGATGAAACTGTATATACGAAGGAATGGACACAGCATTGAGAAGGTGTTATCAGTGAACAACCAGATCAGTTTGATCATTTTTAAGGCAGCAGTGTTATATATATATATATATATATATATATATATATATATATCTTCATAGAGTAAATTGCATTTTCTTCAAGACTGTATTTGATTTATAGAGTAGTATGTCATAATTATACTCAAAATGGAAAGAAGTTGACAGAATACCTTGACATGAAGTTTACTGACAAAAACTTCATTTTTTGACTGAATAGATTTTTTGACAGATTGGTTTAGTCTTTTTAGGTGATTATTGTCACAGATCTATATCAGTTAGCACAAATACTAATTAGTCAGAGATTACCAAACATGATTTTCACCACAATTTAAGATTAAAAAAATTGTACTATCGGCCTCACTGGGTCAGATATCATTAAAGTGAAAAAATTCGGTATTTTTGAATATCTCACTTTAAGTTCAAGTAGCTGGGATGTACTTACTTACTTACTTACTTATGCCAATTACCTCCAATGGATAATAGGCCGCTGACCAGTACTCTACAACCTACTCTGTCCTCAAACTTCCCTTTCCAGTTCTACTCATTTTTTGCTCATTCTTCTCATGTGTGTTTCTTGACCTTCCTCTTTCCCTTTGTCCCTAAGGGCTCCAAGTGAGGGCTTACCTTGTGAGGCAGTTAGGTGCTTTCCGTAACGTGTGTCCTATCCACTTCCAGAACTCCTTCCTGATTTCTTCCTCATCTGAATCTAGTTTCGTTTATTCCACAGTAGGTTGTTGCTGATGGTGTCTGGCCGACGAATGTGAAGTCTTTTGTGTAGACAACTGTAATTGAATGCTTGTATCTTCTAAATGATGGCTTTCGTAGCTCTCCAAGTTTCCGCTCAATACAGTAGAGTTGTCTTGATATTTAGATTAAAACTTTTGACTTTGGTTTTTGTTAAGATGCTTGTTGGGATGTACTGGTTACTATTTTCATACACTGTATTTCACATATGTAAAAATCATATACTACTCTTTCATGCTAACTTTGAACTGCGTAATAGCCGAAAAGTATAATATTCGAAACTTTGAAGAAAACATGAAAATCATTCATTAGTGATGCAAATATTAAATAGAAGATCTTGTGATTACCAGTTCTTACTAATGTCTTAACTTGAAGCAGTATCCTTTTACCATGGTTAGTACAATGATTAGCAACTTCATGTGGTTTAAACAATTATGACTACTAGATCAACACATATAAGCGAACAATAGTGTTGTTTTCGATGAGATAGTCATTAGGCTGGTTTACTCTAATATACATGAATATTTATATATGAAAATGTTAAACCAATCAAGGCATTTTGAGTGGTAATCACAATGAAATGACTACATATAATTGGCAAAAGTACAAGCGGATAGTAGGAAGACAAGTGTACTGATGTGATAACTTAAGTTTTTTCAATAGTAGGTCAAAGGTGGATGAATAGACTTCAAATAAATATTAAAAACATCAAAACCATTACGTAATAAGCAAATGTGTAAAAAATAAAAATAAAATAAGATAAAAAATATATAATGTCAATCGTTAGTTACGTCATATTCGGCCACGGAAGAGATAGGGGTGTCACGAATTTCTTCTGAACACATAAATTGGGGTTGAATGTACGTATTCCTATGGCTTCTGCTATGTGTAGGAGACGAGATCGAACTCCGTTGCAAAATGATGGAGGTATACGATAGATCACTCGAAAAGATCTACTAGACTTATCTACAATATGACCACTATCAACCAGGGGTGTGCTAAGATCAAACTGCGTATTATTTTTGACTGACCCTCTTTATAAACCATGCTGGGAGATGTTCACTCATTCATTGTGTAAGTTGCCTGGCAGTACACCCGATATAGCTGCTATCTCCGATGTATGATACAGAGAAAAAACGACCAAACTAAAATCCATGTTTGGTTTGTTTAGTAATCCATTTATCTGATTCTTCATACTTCAACCGTAACGGTATTCTGTACTGAACATATTTTATGAAATTAAAATTCAGTAAAATTGTAAAGCACTATACAGTTTGTGACCAGTTGTTTCACATCAAGGGAATCCAGACTAAAATCTGCCTACATAAATGATAAGGATAGAAACAATCAAGTTAACTTTAGTGACCGATAAAAGCGTCCAGATTGATGACTAAAAGCTGAATATGTCATCTGACAATTAGGGTTTATTCTCTTCAAAGAAATAGTCAAGACTGTCAGAGTATACAATCAGTTGCACGAGTTTTTAGCAGTATGAAATGATATAGTCAGTACATATGAAATATATGACTGATTTATGATTCAAAACATATTTTTACACCAGGGAAAACAGCGAAAGGTAACATCGAAAATTATGACCGCCTATGTCTTTTATCCCCGATAAACTTGAAAGTTTGCATTATTACTCTATGCTTATAAGTGCATAACTCATCCAATCATAATTATTTCTAATTGTCTCATCAGAATCATAATAAAAGGTGAAATGAAAATATCATAAAAATCAACTGATCAAAAGCTCCTTTTAATGTTTATTTGATTATAAATGTCAATAAAAATCTAACTACACCATACTAAGTGAATTAAAAAACGCATCATTGTGAAAAATAAGACGAGTTGATATTGTAGCTACCAGTGAAATTATAATATTCAACCTTTTAAAATGCATCTCCTAAGACGCATGCACCCTACTATCACGAAAGGACAATATATACATATATATATATATATATATATATATATATATATATATATATATATATATACATATATATCACACCAGTCAGAGTCAGTCATGTTGTTGTAATTAACATAAGACAAAATAAACGTAAACTTGTTCAATAAAATGGTCTCAGATAATTTTCAAAACTAACCCAAATCATAATTTTCAATATCATTTAAAGCCCGTAGGAATTTCTCTGTTGAACTTAACTGAATAGTTGAGTGTAGTATGAAAAATCTCATTGTTTGTAAGCTTTATGGATTAGTTGGTCTTTGGAAACTTGGTTAGTAAAGAAGTCATCGATAGTGTCTACAGTGCTGCAGTGAAACTCTCTCATGATAACATGATGTCCGTGATAAAAATCTGTTTGCTATAATCCATTACATAAGTTGGTACATATCTGTTATGCTCTTCACTTGATATGCTTGAAACTATGACGGGTTCATATCAGTCGATAAACGAGAACCAGACAATCAACCAGTGTCCGGGTAGGCTACTCTGATCCGTTGACTCAAAGGAACTAACCAAAAGTCTTGATATAGCGTGGCAAGTGTATTCTACAAACACCCAGCAAACACAATAATCTCAAGCACACAAATTGCGTCTATTTATAGATCATAAAAATTTCCTTGGGAGAGTCACAAAAACAGCACACTAAAATAACACAGCAACCAATCACAGCTAAGGGTGGGAAATGTGATCTCAAGGTCAGCTGATCAGCCCATGAATAACATCCAAAATAAAGACATTTGTCAAGCGAGTCCTGGGGATCTAACGTCTCCAACAATATTAAAACTTTGATTCAGTGCATGTCAAGATGAAAATTTGGAAAATTCCACGAAAATTCCAATCACTTTGATGTTATTTCAAAGAAACACAATGCTATGGGGCAAGTCAGCATTGCTACAGATTTTATATGATTTCCAGAAGCTTATTTTCTAACTTCGGAAATTCAAGAGATCCAGTATATAATTTTCAGAATAGAGTATATCTATAGTTTAAAAACATTTTCAAACTGGGAAAGTTTCAAGTGCAGTGATAAAACTGGATCTGTCTGTTGAAGAGGTTAATTGTAAATTCCTAATCTGATCACGTTTAGTTTAACCAAAACTATGGATTTCGTAGACTCCCAACTTCGAGTAAACAGTCTGGACTTCTTAAGGACTGATTGTGTAATGACCAAACTGCAACATTACGAATCATTGCTGAACAATCAGTTAAATGGAACTCATCATTGACTACGAGAAAACATTCGATAGCGTGGACAGGAAAACACTTTAGAGGCTTCTTTGACACTACGGCGTGCCTGAGGAGATTGTCAACATCATACGGAATTCCTACGATGGATTCAACTGCAAAATCGTACACGGAGGACAGCTGACAGACTCGTTCGAGGTGAAGACCGGTGACAGACAAGGATGCTTACTCTCATCCTTTCTCTTTCTCTTGGTGATTGACTGAATTATGCAGACGTCAACATCTGGAAGAAAGCACCGTACCCAATGTACAGCCAGGACTCATCTCGATGATCTGGCTATTATATCGCACACGCAACAACAAATGAAAGAGAAGATAACCAGTCTAGCAGCAGCCTCATCAGCAGCAGGTCTGACCATACATAAAGGAGAAAGCAAGATACTACGATACAACGCAACATGCGCCAACCAAATCACTCTTGACGGAGATGCCTGGGAGAACGTATAAAACATTACATATCTAGTAAGAATCATTGATGAGTAAGGCGGATCAGATGCCGATGTGGAGGCACGGTTCCACAAAGCAAGGGCTGCATTTGTGCAGTTGAGCAACGTCTAGAATTTCAAGCAACAACTATATACCAACATCAAAATCAGAACTTTCAATGCAAATATCAGGACAGTTCTACTATGTGGGGAGGAAACTTGGAGAACTACCAAAGCCATCATCCAGAAGATACAAGTATTCCTTAACAGTTTTCTACGCAAAATACTTCCGATCCGTTGAACAGATACCATCAGCAACAGCATACTGTGGTAGAGAACAAACCAGATTGCAGCGGAGCAGGAAATCAAGTAGAAGCAGTGGAAGTGGATAGGACACAAATAGAGGAAGCATCCAATTGCGTCATAAGTCGAGTCATCATTTGGAACCTCTAGGGACAACTTGAAAGAGAAGGTCAAGAAACACACTAAGCTGAGAAATGGAGACATACATGAGAAGAATGAACAAAAATTGAACAGAACTGGAAAAGGGAGTTTGAGGACAGAGTAGGTTGGAGAATACTGGTTGGCCCCGCCAATGCTCTATCGGAGGTAACATGCATAAGTAAGTAAGTAAGTAATGGATAATCGAAAAAAATAAAACCAAGATGGAACGTAATAAAAATAAATGATGATTAGATGAATTCATTAAACAAAGAACAATCTGAGAAAGCACAGGTTAGACACTAGTAATTATATAGAAAATAATACTTTAGTTCAATAAACAGACATATTATCATTCTCAAATTGTACTACACTTCTGGCATTTTTAAAGATAGAAACTTCGATACTTTCTATCGCAATTTTATCCCAAATAATGTTCAAAAGAATAATTCATTTGAGTTGAAATCACAACACAATTAAATGATCAACACTATGATACCATAGTCATTGTTATACTACTTTCAAATTGTCAGTAGCTCAAAACAATAAAAGAATAATTTTTAATAGCCAGCTATTTTTTTTTCTGTAAAATTCATTTTTTAGCGCAACATCATGATAATTTTGATAAAGAATTTTTAGATTTGAAATGTGAAAACTGTAGTGAACATTCTTCTTATCAACACTATAAATAATAAAATCTTAAATAATCTGAAAATTTGAAATGAGTAGTATATACCAGCTAATAAGATTTTTTTTTGTTTCAAAGTTCATGTCAGTCAATATTCGAGTATAGGATGAATATTATGTTTCCGGTTGATTTTCACCTGGAGCTGGCGCTTCCACTTTTTTCAATCGTTTTTTCCAATTCAATGGTAATGGACAACAATCTTTCGCCAAATCTGCTCTAGTACGTCCTGTAATCCACCAAGTTTGCATATCTCCTTTGCCCTTGAATAATAAGACCAAATATGTCATTAAAACAAACTGAAACAAGACAATGTTCATGATAAAATATGTATGTGCTAGTCCTTACTACACATTGATATAGCAGTGGATCGTGAGGTTCTGTGGCAGTGTCTGTCATTGAAAGGTGTACCAAAGAAGTACATTAACCTTATACAAGCACTCTACTCGAACACCACTGGTCGGGTGAGAGCTTATGGCGAACTGTCATCTGAATTCTCTACATCAAGTGGTGTCCGTCAGGGATGTCCACTCTCTCCATTCTTGTTCAACTTTGTCGTAGACATCCTCTTAGAGTTAACATTAAGCTCGTCAGATTTTTCAGGGGTTGACCTTCTACCAGGAAAGTCGCTTACTGATCTAGAATATGCCGATGACATAGTTCTATTCGGTGAAGACGCTGACAAAATGCAGAGTCTTCTGACTACCCTAAGCAACAATGCGAGCATGTTCGGGATGCGGTTTTCCCCCTCGAAATGCAAAATGTTGCTTCAAGACTGGGTTGCATCGGCACCTGAACTAGTGATAGGGAGTGAAGTAGTCGAGCGTGTTGATCACTTCACTTATCTGGGGAGTCTCATCAGTGCTGACGGTCTGGTGACTGACGAAATCTCAGCTCGGATACAGAAAGCTCGATTGGCTTTTGCCAACCTGCGTCACTTATGGCGTAGGCGTGATATCCGTTCGCTAACCAAAGGGTGGGTGTACTGCGCAGCAGTTCGTTCCGTTCTCTTATATGGCTGTGAAACATGGCCGTTAAGAGTAGAAGATGTTCGTAGGTTACTAGTATTCGATCATAGATGTTTAAGAAGCATTGCTCGTATATCGTGGGACAGCCGAGTAAGCAATGCTGTCGTTAGGAAACGAGTTCTAGGTAAGGATGGCAGATCAATAGATGAAGTGGTGAAACTTCATCAGTTGAGGTGGTTGGGACATGTGTTACGTATGCCTAACCACCGACTGCCTCGACGAGCTATGTTTTGTGGCATAGGGGTAGGTTGGAAGAAAGTTAGGGGCGGCCAGACCAAAACATGGCAGGAATCAATGAAGTCACTGACAAGTGGACTGAGTCATGTCGGTAGATGTAAGCTACCTGGTTGGGGTCCGCGAGACGAAAGTCACCAATGGTTAGAGACCTTAAACAACATGGCTCAAAATCGTTTGCAATGGCACAGATGCATCCACTCTTTGAGCTCTCTCAAATCCTAATCTTATGCAATCGTCAGTACCTCTACCTTTGTCTTTCTAACCTTACCTCACTGAATTATATTTTTTGAATAATATCTTCAAACCCTAGTCTTCTTTATTAACATTAATACCTCTACCATCTTTATCACCATGGGATTTGATTTGACATTTGCGTCTCTGTGCTAATAATGTGGTATGGCAACATGAACTTATGTACATACGTACGAAGTTCTACGTTGCAACTGACTGACTGACATATTTACTAATGAAAAATTCTACTTTTTGTGACGGGAAAAACTCTTTGAATATAAATTTCTAAACAACCCTTAATAAACCAAGTTCCGTTAATACTGATAAACTTCAAAGTATCTGTTTACTAATGAAATACAAACATACAGTATAATAAGTCGTGTCCGGGATATCATTGTTTATTTGTAATTTACACTCACGATTATTATCACGACTGATCGTTGTAGTAGATAATTGTTACGCATGCACGTAAACATGTCATTTTGATGTACTTGAACTATTACAAGTTCACCTTGGTCGGAAAACGAGAGCGAGGATCGACAATCCGGCGACACAACATGCTACTTTAATCCGAGTGTCCCAACCCCCATTTTGTAAAAAGAATAAGTCTTGATAGGAAGGAGAACATTTATTGTACAAGTATCTAGAAAGTACGAGGTCCGAGTCCAGAAGAAGGCAAGGATCCGGGTCATAAAATGTTACAGATAATGCATACATTTAGGAAACAGCATCAAAGTCTGTGACATTGACACTTCTGATGATCAATAGAAAAAAACGTTTAAAGTGACATTGATAGTCAGGACGACCGATGAGAAACAACATTGAAGCACGTGACATTGATAGCTAGACATTTTTGAAACCATGAATCGATCAATATTAGATCACCATTAGAAACCTGGAAGCACTGGATGGCCGTTTCGCCCTGGTATGGGACTCCTAAGTTGTGCGCATCCACCACTCCTGCACCCCGCAGGACCCGAACCCAGGATCTTCGGGGTTGTGCGCGAACGCCCCAACCGTTAGACCCCTAAGCCGGTGTCCATCATTGTTAATGTCTAACTTGATCAAATTCACGGAGTTGCGCACCGAAGTCCACACGGCTTGTGGAATCGTACCCAAAAGATATTGGGGTACCCAAATATGTCATAATTACCTTGATATTACTGACAGCATTTATGTCTTCTTATCAACATTATTTTTGAAGTTCCGGATCGAAATGTGATAGATTTGACTGTAAGTGACTTAGCATCTGAAAAGAAATACCAATGGCAATAGACACTACCCTTCATTATTAATGAAGAAGTTACATTGTGTTGGTATGAATTCAGAGGAAATTCCAGAGATTTCCTTGCACCCACATTTTTGAGATTTCCTACTACATGAAATGCTCAACAAAGCCTAAGTGGTTCTTGAAATCTGTATGGACGAGTTATTTGTGGTTAGCGAAAAAAGTACAGTCAGACGTAATTAGTACATATTGTATTAGGAACTATTCATGTTGTATGAATGACTTTGTTCCAGACTCGAACTAATCCATTTTATATCACTGGCATCATTGAGTGTAGAGTGAATCAGGTAATTAACTGAGAATCTGAGCGTTATAATATGAACAAACCATTCGATCTTCTTTGTAATGTTCTACTTACTTTCACAGTGATTGTACCACGTTTTTCAAAAGTGAAACCACCAAGTCGATCCAATATAGCATGTGTTGTTTCGGAACAATGAATTTTATAGGCTTTTCAGCATTGAAAAAAATACAGAAATGAAATACACTAAGAATATTGAATAAAAATGATGTTTACTCAAAAATCATTGAGTTTGATTCTCTATGCAGCTATTAACAGACTTGACAAAGTCTTCTAGTTTGTTCTCAGCCTATTTGGTTCAATGTTTATCATTCTTCAATGAAAACGAAAACAGATTTTCCGTGTCAGTCATAACTAGAATATATATGTATTGATTAGTAAAATCATTAGACTAATTATTAAATGATTGAAAACAGAGTGCCTTAAGTCATGAACGATTTTTTATGCAAGTTAGTGTATGTTAGAGTGTCAGTAATTTTGAAACAACTATTTGTTCCAGTTGTTGGAGATGAACTGGTGTCAAAACCATATCGTCGTTCAAGTAATTATCTGTAACCTGTGAGCAACAAACGATTTTCAGCCATCTTATTCAAGGTCTCTGATAATTGTTCACTATCATCTCGCAGACCCCAACCAACATGACCCAGCCCACTTGACAGTGACTTCATGGATTTCTGCCATGTTTTGGCATGGACACCCCTACCTTTGTTTTTACCTATTCCTACATCGCAATACATCGTGGTTAGGCATACGCAATACATCTCCGAACCATCCCCAACTGATGAAGTCCTAACACTTTATCTGTTGGATCTGCTATCTTTACCTAGTACTCGCTTCCTAATGGTAGCATTGCTTACTCATTTGTCCCACCATACACGAGCAATGCTTCGGAGACATCTATGATCGAAGAACAATAACCTAAGAATATCTTCTACTCTGACTGGCTATGCTTCGCATCCATATAATAGATAGGAGCGAACTACTGCACAGTACACTCAACCTTTAGTTAGAATGCAGATATCTCGCCTACGTCATAAATGATCTAAGTTGGCACAAGCCAATGGAGCCTTTTGTATCCGTTCTGAGATTTTGTCATTCACCAGGCTATCAGCGCTGATGAGACATGCTCAACTACTTCACTCCCTAACACTAGTTCCGGTGCCGATGTAACCCAATCTTGAAGCAAAATTTAGCATTTCAACGGGAAGAATTGCATCCTGAACATACTTGCATTGTTACTTGGGGTAGTCAGAAGACTGCATTTAGTCAGCATCTTCACTGAATAGAGCTGTGTAGAGAGCTTTTATAAGGTTAATGTAGTTCTTTAGTACACCTTTTAATGACAGACACTGCCACAGAACCTCACTATCGACAGAGTCGAACACCGCTTTAAAGTCGAGAAATACTACTATTGTGGGGTGTCTAAACATGTGTCTATGTTCTAGGACCTGACAAAGTGTGAATATCTGGTCTATACATCCACGTCCCGGTCGAAAACCAGCCTGGTTTTCTCTTGTCTGCTCTTCACAAGCTGTAGTTAGGGGTTCGAGCATTAATGAAACCAATATTTTCGATACTATATTACACGACAGTAACCAATATCATGTCTACTCCTCTTGTGCACCATGTTGTTAAATCACTACAACCACCGACCACATGTTACAACTTTATATATATAATCAGCAGGGTGAAAAAGATCACATGTTAGTGGCCAATTAATGCAAGTAAATCTATGATGACGTTAGTACTAATTTGCTGAGTGTAATTAATTGTGTTATGCGACTTTCTTCTACCTCTTACTTATAT